CAACATGATACGGAGATTGTAGCGGACCGCCCCTTATTTCCTTCGTACTTTGCGTGTATATATATATATATATACAATAATTAATCACACATAGAATTAATCAGAAGTATCAATGCGATTATTGGCGACATCCGTCACTAGAAAACATAATATATGCATTAAAATCCTGTTCATCCATAGTGCGAGTTTTGATCCTTGAAGAAAAACTTGTCTGTAGTTTTTCAGTTTATTCGATGTTAAAATGCTAGTACTTACAGACGGTCTTCCATCCATCATCAGGCATGTGTTTTTTTCTTATAAAATCAAAAACTTGAGACGATATATCTGTACGTCGACCGAAAGATGTTTTTTGAATATCTGCTATTATTGACGGTTGTAAGATCTCGGAACGTGCAAAGACGCAACGCTAAGTTTTTCAAAATTTTTAAGTGAGAATTTTATTTAAATATTTCTTGTGATGTGTTAAATCCACGTATTCTATTTTTACAAGTGTATTCAGTTTTTATGTCATGAACTAAGTATATAGTTCAATAATATAGTGTAATGTCATAATAGTAATTTTTTTAATAGGAATTTTTATGTACTGCGGATCGATAGTTTTTTTAATAAACATAAAACATTAGGCAGCATATGATTTACATACAAGAATATATATATATATATTTATAGTCCCCCCCGACCATTTAGTACAACTATCTTCAGGTAAGGACTAAAAAAGGACTGCTGTAGAATTGAAATATTAATATTAATAACCTAGTGTTAAAACAGGGGAGCAGTCCATTTTTTTAAAATTAATTTTAGCATTGTTATTTTACCACCAGCATTCATTATTTATTGTCCCCATTATTTATTACAACCAGCATTTATTGAACAATATTTTATACTTACATATCGAATAAATATAACAAAGTTACATTACAGCAACAAGGACTCTCTAATGTTTTAAATTGGTGAGATGCCAGTCTAGGACCGATATCATTATCGATTCTTATTTGAATTTCGGTAAGAATCTCTAGATGCATAGCAGAAACACCAGACCTGTGGTGACAGCAATATTTATAAATATACATTCCTTAGTTCCACGGCCAAGACCCGCCATGCCACGCCCATTATAACGAACTTATTCCCTTCGTATTCGATTGGTGAGAGGTAAGTGCCACTTGAAGAGTTTCTTTTCACGAACCACTGCTTTGGGAAACCGACTAGGTTTAACCGTTATCTTCTCCACATATCCCTCCAAACTGTACTTCTAACTCTGTAATACTCTACCTGGAGTTGCTCTCGGGCCTTATACAGGGTGAAAATCATTGGGGAAAGGCATCATTGGAACGTCGGCTTTGTGGAACCGACTCCCAAGTTGCTCTTGTGACTTATACAGGGTGAACATCATTGGAAAATAAAAAAAAAACACCTCGAACATCTGTTTGTGGAACCGTCTCCCAAGATGTTGCTTCCTCGATCACTACAGTCTTAACCTATTGAAATCTAGAGTTAAAAGTTATCTTCCTCACATATCCCCATAAACTGTACTTCTAACTCTGTAGCACTACCTGGAGTTACTCTTGGGCCTTATACAGGGTGAACATCTTTGGGATATGAAACATCATTGGAACGTATGCTCCCAAGATGATGATCTTCGATCACTATAATCTTAACTTGTTCATATCTTGGGTTAACCTTTGCCTTCCCCGCATATCACCAGGAACTGTGCCTCTTACTTTGTAACCCTCTACCTTGAGTGGCTCATGGGCCGTGTACAAAGTGAACATTATTAAAAAAAAATTGGAATTTCTCATCTGGGATTTTTCTTCCTACACTGGGCAATAAACGCAAGTATGAAATTCCCTATTAGCGTTAAGGAGGCGGGGAGAGATATTCTTGAAAGATATCTCGTTAAACAAAGAAGCAATTGTCTTGAACCAGAAAATAGGTCGGATTGAATTGAATGCATCACTACAGATATGGTGGCTCGTAAACACCAAATTGACGTCTGGCTTATCATACACGTCAGTCATCGAGGCTTGTTAAACATTATTTCCTCGAATGACTGGACCAATCTAAAGCAGAATTTCTCAAGGTAGGGGGCGCTTTCTTCACCTGGGTGGGGAGAGCGTAATAATTATTAGTTGTGGGGTTTGCCGTATAAGATGAAAAATCTTTCGCATAAACAGGATGAATGACAGCGAAAGACCGAATTGGGGTCTTAGTTATCAATGCGTAAGTCATTGTCAAGAGGACATGTTGAACACTACTTCCTTGAATGATTGGGCCGTATGGGGGCAGGGCATTTCATAGTAGGGGTCGAAACCTAACGGCGGTTGGCGTAAAGATTACTGGATTTTGCATATTTGAAAATCGTTTTATTTTATTTTATTTTATTTTATTTTAAAGATTAATTAGATAACTAGAAAACGTTTTTCTCTACGAAGGCGTTCTTTGGTTCTATTTTTATATTTTAGAATATGTCAATGACATTCATTACTTTGATATATAAAGCTAGTGGTTTCTGAGTGTCCGTTCAAAGATTTGAAAATTAACTTAAATATATACATTTAGTCTTTAGTAATAGATTTTAAAATCCGACATTATTATTACTACAAACGTTATATTTAGTGGGTATCTGTGTTTGAGTAGATGTCCTAGCTTTTGATTTTCACAAAAAAAAAAAAATAAAATAAAATGAATCCTGACATTTGCCTTGATAATGTTCATTAGAGGACGAAATGCGTCCGATAATATATATATATAGGGTGTCCATAAAGTTTGGGTAATACGATTTTGCAGTTCACGGAAAACATTTGCCAACTGATTTACAGTAATGCCTGAAATCACATTAGTTATTTTAGCTATACTTAAAACTAGGTACATTAAACTTTATAACATTTTTTACAGATTATTTCTATCGCAAATACAAATAAAGTTATAAATTTTTCAAAAGTGCACGTACTTTATGGACACAATATATATATATATATATATATATATATATATATATATATATATATATATATATATATATATATATATATATATATATATATATATATATATATACACACACACAAAGAGAGAGAGACGGGGATGGTGGGGAGGATGCTCAGTGGGGTAGTTGATAGCGGCTCGGTTTGAAGATCGGAGAGCCGAGTTCAAATTCCAGTCGAATCCATCACATTCACTCACGTGCTAATACCCCTGGGAAAGGTGTGAATCCTCTTCTTCTCCCTCCAACTATGGGTAAATAGCAGGACAGACTGGGTTCTATAGTCTTGGATGGCGACTGGTCTAGGAGAAGGACAACTCTGAATTCAAAACCTGCGAAGGGTCGTTTGGGAACCTTATGGCACTCCAAATCCTCTAATCAAATCTTGTAATATCCTTGTGTCTGGTTCTTAGGCAGTAAAGTCACTGAGACAGAAAGGCTTACCGTGTGTGAAAGAATAAGAACATTATTAATCCTTTGAGCCTTGACCACCGCGTTACCGGTGGTAGAGAAAAATGACTTAATGCCCAGCCACCGCTTTACCGGTGGTAAAGAAAAATGACTTAAGGCCCAGCCACCGGTTGAACGGTGGTAGAGAAAAATGACTTAATGCCCAATCATCGGTTGAACGGTGGTAGAAAAAAATGACTTAATGCCCAAATCACCGGTTGAACAAGGTAGAAAAATGACTTAATGCTCAGCCACCGGTTGAACGGTGGTAGAGAAAAATGGCTTAATGCCCAATCACCGGTTGAAAGGTGGTAGAAAAAATGACTTAATGCCCAGCCATCGGTTGAACGGTGGTAGAGAAAAATGACTTATTGCTCAGCCACCGGTTGAACGGTGGTAGAGAAAAATGTGTATACCTATTTTGTATTTTTAAAATCATTTCACCCCATGTAAGGCAGTAAAGCCGCTAAGACACAAGGAATTGGTGCGCGTGAAAGAATAGCTAAAAAGAGAAAGGGTTAAGGAACGAGAAAATAAACGAGTAATCAAAGACAGTAGATAATGGTTGACATTGAATTTGAATTTTTGAAGATCAAAGTTGGCTGCAAAGCATGGAACCTGAAGAGCGTTCCACAACTAATAAGAGCGAGAGAAGAAACTGTTAGCATAGAACTTACGGTTACATTTAACCAATTCAACTGGTAACTGATGAGACCTTGTTGCCAATCTAGTATCGCTATTAAATTTTAAAAAATATCTAGCTACGTTAGTGACTAGTTCTCCCGAACAATTACGATGAAAGCTACATGACGCCTAATGACTGAAGCCTAGTTGCCAGATCAGGGCCAATAATATTGCTGATTCATTTTTGGATTTTATCAAGAATCTCTAAATATACAGTGACTCTGGTCCTTAATCCTCCGTTAGTAGCGAAGGCTTTTGAACTTCCTATATTTTCCTTTAATATTTAACTATGCAAACATTAATGAGTAATCAAGTATCATTCTGAATACTTCTGTCAAATAACAACAAGGAGTTTCTGGTTTTGGTCTTAATAGGAGTGCGTTTATAAAATGAACGCTATTTTTGCACGTGTCTATTTTTGAAACTAAAAATTCATTTCTTTTTTTTTTAATATTGGCCCTTAAATTCGATTTTTCTTAATGCAACCTATCGTTTCTTTCCTCTATTTTTTGTCATTGTTATTTATCCTATAAAAACAGAAAGGACACTAAAAACAAACTGTCGTGTTATTAATTTCCAGACAGGCTTTACTTATGAACTTTCTGGGCCTTCGGAAAAAATGTTTCACGAATCTTCTCGACCATCTCTTCCGATAATGGTGGTTGTTCAGATTCTTTCACCCCGTACAGACAGCTCTTCTCTTTGAACGTTTTGCACCATGTCCAAGTCTGAATTACAACGGGTGCATTTTTAGTGAATTCACTCACAAATAGACGCTGCACGGTCTTCGACTATTTTCGAGAATACGGCACCACACAAAAAACCTTTACTTTTCCAGTCAATGAGATTTCTATGCCTGAAAAAGAAAAAAAAAAACATTAAAAACAGAATTTTGATATAGATAGATAGATAGATAGATGTGAAGTGGAAAGACGATATTGAATCCATATCATCATCTTGCGGTCTCAGCCAAGATTGAACTCACCAATATTTTGATTGGTGTAGTTCATAATCTTGTAAAATTGCTGAATTATTGATGCTTCGCTAGGGCTGTCAAGGGTGTTTTTATCGTGACACCATCACTAAATGGATTGCCAACCAAGGCTCAGAGAGACTCCATTCACCCTCCTCTAAGAGCAGGTTTGAATTCAGAGTTTCCTTCTCCTAGACAAGTTGCCATCCAAGGCTATAGAACCCAGTCTGTCCTGCTATTTACCCATAGCTGGAGGGAGAAGAAAGAGGATTCACACAAGGGTGTTAGCAGGTAAGTGAATGTAATGGATTCGACTGAAATTCAAACTCGGCTCTCCGATTCCTCAATCCAAGCCGCTATCCATTACCACACCGTGCCTCCTCTGCTAAGAAAGTTGGTTCATTGTGTCGAACGAGACAGTTTTTCTCTGCAGAATCTATCTTACATATCTAAAAGTCTACCATTCGTTCATGCTTAAAATATTGCTGCCACATATGGTCCAGTGCACCTGCTTATTTACTTTGATCACCTTGATAAAATCCAAAGAAGAATCAGCAATATTATTGGTCCTGATGTGGCTGCTCAGCCTCAGTCACTTTCCCACCACCATAAGGTTGCTTCTTTGTGTCTATAAATATTTTCATGGTAATTGTTCGGATGAGCTCTTCGCTATGGTAACAAGACTTTATGAATTTAAGCGCAGTACTAGACTGACGTTGAGATCTCATCAACTTAAAACAGAGTTGGCTAGATGTAACCGTAAATTCTATGCTAACAGTTACTTTTCTCGCACTTCTCGGTTGTGGATCTTCCTTTCAGCTCCATGATTTAAAGTCAACTTGAATCTGCAAAAATCTAAATGCAATGTCAATCGCTATCTACTGTCCACCCGATTACTGTCTAATTTTTCTGTTCATCATTAATGTTTTTGCGCCTAATTTTTCCACACCCTGTAACCCCTTCTGTCTTAGAGGCTTTAATGTCTTGCTTTGGGTGATACTGATTAAAAAAAGAAATACACACACACACACACACACACACATACATACATACATACATACATACATACATATATATATATATATATATATATATATATATATATATATATATAGTATAGCTGACCATTCGTATCCGAGGATATCCGTCTACTAGGGCGGCTAGCCAATCCCTATTGCAGACGCTTGCTCAGGCGCATTTGTGTTTATTCAACACCCACATAGCCCACCTGTAGTTTATACTGCAACTCTGCTGAGCAGACCTTAGTTACAGTTTCTGGGAAAGATTGTAATATGTGATCAGCGTGATCAGCAATTTGAACAAAGCCAGCACGCATAAGCCCTCGTCCACGATGACTTGTGCTAGCAAGGGTTCCGCCTATCCAGTTTCACTTAGAGGCCTTGGGTCAACCCGTGGTATGGTTTTTAGGGACAATGGGATCTACCGCTCCAGTCCGATACAGATAACATCGATAGCATCAGGAAGTCTCCATACAAAAAAATAGACTAAGGTGATATATATATATATATATATATATATATATATATATATATATATTATTATTTATAAAAAAATTATAACATAAGTATGTTATAAAATCACTACAAAAATAGCCATTTTGTTTCAACACACTCGGTGTCATATCATGTGATGATGTTGAAGATAAAATAAATGGTTTTAAAACTTTCAGATTTATAACATACTTATGTTCAGATTTATAACATACTTATGTTATAATTTTTTTATAAATAATAATTATATCTGCTCTACTTTGTATTGAGCACTCTTTTAAGAATAGTAATAGTTGGTTATTGGAATTCATTCCATATACACCAATTATATACTTGTATATATATATATATATATATATATATATATATATATATATATATATATATATATATATATAAAAGTGAACACAGAAAACACTTAGAGGCGACAGTCTGTTTCGATTGCTAGCATGAAATCAGACTGTCTGACGAGTGTTGACTTCTGTGTTCACTTTTTATATGTACACACGCTCTATCTCTGATATTGAGCCCTTTATCCCATAAATATAGCATACCTTAAGACTATATTTCTTCATATATATATATATATATATATATATATATATATATATATATTCAACAGTATTGTTCAGCTTATTAGATTAGGAAATGATATATTTTTTTTCTTTTGAAACACCATCTATAGCAAGAAAAGAGTCAAATGTTATTTCTATATTTTAAACGGAGTGTTCGAAAATACAGTAATATTGATGTTGAAGTAATCGTTCTGTTCACACTTCTCCCCGATCTTTGGAACAGGATTAGATGTTTATCCCTTGTTTCTTGTTTAGGATCGGGTTTCCCGTACCTTGTAAAGACTTTTCCTTATTGTGAGCTTCCACCTCGAGTGGCTCTGGGACTTTTTCTGGATGAATATCAACGTAAAAAAAATGGCGCAAAGTACTAACAGATGGTTAAAAGGAAA